GGTGTATGCGAGGGAATTCTGGTTTGCTCATTTGGAATTTCCTTTGGTTCGATATGGCCAAGAGTTAAGCATGTGCAGACGCAGTGGCAATTGAAAGGAGACAAAGCTGGCTTGTATTGCATGTGATGGGCAGGGCAAGAACTCACGGCATGGAAGAGGAAAATTGAGGGGTTTGATACCTAATGAAAGAAAGCAATTGGTCAAATGGCATTTATCAATAGTTCGAGGACATGGTGAATGAGAGACTCTCCTCATGAAAATAGGTAAGAACGAAAATCTTCCACGTGAATCATTAATAAATGATGATATATTATAATTTGTTATGCATATGGTATTGAGAACCATATTAATGCAAGAAAGTAAAAATAGAATTGATGCATGTATATGTCGACATTGAGGTGTATTACCTCGATGATTAGAAATTGAATACATGTTGTGGAGTATAATGATTTTGTTTAAATGCATGCATATATGTGAAGAATATATGGGAATAGAATGGGTTTATTGCCCATAATAACGATATTATAAGAAGTACTATTATCAGTACTACACGAACCACTTAGGTTGCTGTGAAACATTAAAGTTTTAAGAATGAGAGCAGCAAGCTGAACTAGATCCACACCAATTAGAATGGTACCCATCGTGGTAAGCATAAGATTGTCACACAATTCTCTAAGAAAACGCTATGTTTCTCAATTAAATTTGAAAAAAACTAGGTCATATGACACGAAAGTGTTAGAGCAAGTTTAACATAGTATTGTGTTAACTTGATTAAAGAAGAGGATTTGGCAATAATAATCGCTTAGGTGATGACAGTGGTTAGCCTTAATGGTAACTCTGGAGAATGGTTGTTGGCTACTAACGCCCCAAGGAATGTCTGTGATAGACGATCTAAGATGGATTTTTTTTGGGACGTGTGTGTCCTTGTAAAGAATTAGAATATCTAAAGTCACATTCCCATATTATTCTTGAACGCTTGAGATAAATAAAAATTTTGTAACCAAGCAAAATGACCAATAAAATATGTGGTTAGAGAATCAGAATCAATAGATCTTATTTGTGTTTATATGGGTAAACTTGATGGAAAAGACAATAAATAATTTATTGCTCTTTAGAGTGCTCTGATACTAACTAGTTATTCGAAATAGTTTGAAATGCCTAGTGGCATTATGATTGCACTGATTATTCGATATGTGGCATGCATGTGGTAGCGTTAGAGAATCAGTGACATGATAACTAGAAGAGCATATGAGTGTGTAAGTTATTGTAAAACACATAAGCCTATGAAACGAAATACTCATTAGTTTGTGAAAACCATTGATGCCAATAGATTCCATTTATATTAAGAAATAGTGGGGGTGATATCCTTCCTACTATTAGAAATAATGGATAACTGGTGGGGGTGATGAATATGAGTATGAACTCAGAAGAGACAAATGAATCATAAATCACGAAAGGATTTTGGTTATGAATTTTTTATTTACACCCTAAGAAAGAAAGATCCTACAAGTTTGCTAGAAGTTCGAACTTCCATAAAGATGCAGAATTGTGGGAGAATCCATTATTAAGGAAATGAAATTATTGGAGTCTAATAAGACTTAAAATCTTGTAGAGTTACCTCTTGGTTGTAAAGCCTTGGGTAATATATCGATAGAATCGAACAAGATTTGGCATTTATGAGAATTACCTCTTGGCAATGAAGTCGAAGGTAATAAATGGATTCCCGAAAGAAAAACTAAAACCTGATGGTTTAGTTTATGAGTATAATAATCACCTAGTTGCTAAGTCTTTAGGTGAAGAGGAAACATTATAGATATCTATTCACCAATATGTGGAATTACTTTCATGTATGAGATGAATGTTAAAACTATTTTGTGAAGGGTGATTTAGATAGGAAAATCTACATGGGACAACCTATAGGGTTGTTATTCCTGAACATGCTTATGGAGTCTGTAGTTAGACAAATCATTGTAAGATTTGAAACAGACTCTAAGATGATGGCAAGAATAAATTGGTTCTCTCTCATGCTTTTAATGAAAGTGACAAGAGCATTTAGTATAGGTTTGAGAATGACACGTGCACTATGAATGACATGTTGATATTTGGTACAAAGACTCATGATATCAATGATGTGTAAAACCATGTTTGAGAATTTTGAATGATCTTGATGAAGCTTGTGTAAGCTAAGAGATCCAGGTAACTATGACAATGAAATAGATTTTTTCTATATCAGTTTAGCTACATAGTTAAGATCTAGAAGAAATACAAGTTGTATGCCTGCATAAATGGTTGATGATGCTAGTGTAAATATTAAATAACACTGGAAATGGTGTAATAAACTAAGAAAGTTAGAATTTACTAGCATCGACAGTCTGCAAGAGGCAGCTGATTAACACGAGACCCGACATTGTGGGTTATTTGGCAGGTTTACATGATGTCCTAGTATGAAGCATTGAAATGCTATTGAAAGGGGTTATGAGACACCTTAAAAGAACAGAAAACCTTGGTATTTTTTATCAAAGGTTTTGTTGTATTGGTAGGGTATAGTGATGCGGACTACAATACCCTATAGAGGATTCCAAGATTACCAGAAGCTATGTTTTAAACATCAATAGAGAGGTTGTGTCTTGGAAGTCTAAGAAAAAGAAGTAAACGATCCTGGCTCAATCAACTATGGCATCAGAAATGATAGAACTAGAAATGGCTAGTAAAGAAGAAAGTTGATTGAGAGGGTCATTACTAGAGATTCCCTTATGGGAAAGACCAATCCCTCCGGTAGTTGATTCATTGTGATAGCGCCGCAGCTATTACTAAAGAAGGGAACCGGTTCTAGAACGAAAAGAGACGACAAATTCGTCGTAAGCACTTACAGTACTGTAAGAGAACTCCTAACGATAGGAGCAATGAGGGTGGATCCTGTAAGGTCCTAACAGAATCTAGCTGATCCTTTGACGAAAGGATTATCTAGAGAGAAAGTCCAAAATACCGCCAAGGGTATGGGACTTATGCCTACCGAACCACAGACTACAAGTGATGGTAACCCGACCTAATAGACTGGAGATCCCAAGAAATGGATTCAATGGGTAATAACAAGTCATGAGTAGTATGCAAAAATTTCATGCAAAGTGAAGCATGAATCCCAAAGCAATGGAGGTTGAGTTAACAACTCTTAATGAGATCTATACCCTATGTGGGGTGGAGTACTTTACTTTGGGGGCACTCCTGATAGACTCACCTATGTGAATGTGGAAGCGGGGCCGCTCCCTATGGAACTTTGGAGGCACAAAGTTGCTAGAGCGTTCACTAAACCAGGATAACGTGCATGGCCATAAACGCACGGCCTATGAGAGAATATCACTCAATGAAAAGATCTGGTGTGCTACATTGTCTGAGATAGGGTTCAAGACTACGAGTCAGCCTTATGAAATCGGAAGTGTAACCACTACGCTAAGGTTCGAATCTTCGCGATACCTTAGCTTATGCCCGATCTTATGGATATGTTGATGCTCAGAGATAGTTTCAAAACTATTCAAGTGGGGGATTGTTGGGAATGAATAGCTTTGAAAGCTATATTGAATTAATTATCCCGTATTCTTTCTAGATACGAAAATAGGAAGGATAATTAATAAAAAAGAATATTATGGAGATAATTAGATTTAATTATCTTAATATAATATATTTTAATTATGGTAGTAATTATCTTCCTAATTAAAATGTGGCTTATTCCCAAAGAAAAAGGGAATATTCTAGGTTTTCTGCTCCTATAAATAGCAGACCCCTAGACCCTCTAAATACACCTCAGAAGAGCATAAACAAGAGAGAGAGTGAATTCATAGAGTTCCGGTTTTCGCACAAAACCGCCGAGCAAACTAAATTAGAGTGGCTGTTTTATCCTGGAGGCGACCGGCTGATAGTCTGTCGTGCGCAATGAAGGCAGTGCCGCAAACGTCTTAAAGAGAGCGTCCTAGTCCGCGACTCAGCCAGATCGGTAACCCTATTTTTCTGTTCGATTTCTAACCGCAGAGGCAAACACAATTAGATTTTATTTGGCGGCGACGATGAAGCATACTTTCCGACCAGGAATCACAAAAAGTGACTGCAAGATGACCATCCATATTTTAATTTCGCTTTTGTTTTGTTCAGTGATGGTAGTCATCTAGCCATTACAAATTAATAAGTGGTTACATATTGATTATAAAATATAGGGTTAATATTTTCGTATGGCCTAAACTTTGACCAAAATAAACATCATGACCAATCTTTTCGATCTATAACATCCTGGCCCGAACTATACACCAAAATAAACAAATTGGCCAGATCCGACTTTTGACCGTTAACTTGGACGGTCAAACGCGTTGACCGTTAGTCAACGTGCCATGTCACTGCCAAGTCAGCATAAAATATTTAAAATAATTCACAATTTCCACACATTCCCTAATTTTAAATTATTATAAATTAAAAAAAAATAATCTAATACCTTAGTTAAACCAAAAATAAAAAACGAAAAAATTAAATATTTATCAGATTTCCTGACTTGGCAATGACGTGGCGCGTTGACGTTAGTCAACGCGTTTGACCGTCCAAGTTAACGGTCAAACATCATGTTTGGCCAAATTGTTTATTTTAGTGTATAGTTCGGGCCAGGATGTTATAGATCGAAAAGATTGGCCATGATGTTTATTTTGGTCAAAGGTCAGGCCACACAAAAATATTAACCCTAAAATATATTACTTGTTTTTTTATTACCCGCGAATCACAACCCCACGTGTACTACTTAATTTGGGGGCCATGACATCTGCTTTCAATTTGACGCGAATTGGACTTCGTCCTCGGCAACTTTATAGTTTATACCTGTGAGAACACCAACGAACCTCGCTTGAATTCGAACCTGAGATCTACAACTCCTAAACCTTCACTGTCGCGATAACTTTACCGTTAATATATCTTACCTTTGTTAATATTCACTTTCATATAGATACAAGTCTACATTTAAGTGATGATATTTTTTATAAATAATTTGACTTCATCAATAAAGTGAGCAGATCATTTGTAAATTTTTAAAAATTAGTATAACCACTCCTACCTCACCAGTCACCACCGTAAGCGAAATTAACTTATTATATTTTATTCTCGATCTCCTTGTACTACCACGACGCCGTCCATTCCTTTGTACTATCCCCAACGACTTGTGAGTTGTACCATTCATACTTACGCCATTCATGCCCCAACAGCAAAGTCAAAGAACCCAATTTTCCAATTCCCTTCTGCAATTTCCCTCGGCAGCCCTTTTGACTCCCAGCTCACAAATTCCCCCACTCACCAACTCTCTTCTATATAGCAGTCCCTACAAACCACCGGAAATTCTCGCCCAGAGCTAAATTCCCAATCCTCCCACTCTGTAAAAATGGCGAGACTCTGTCTCACCATCTTCCTAATCACAATCTCCCTCTCGACCCTCCCCAATTCTCGATCCCAGCCATCCCCAGCTTCCCAACCTGCGGTCAACTGGGCGACCCGGCTCGACTCCTCTGGCTCCGACACCGTCACCAACCTCCAGTTCTACTTCCACGACATCGTCAGCGGGAGCAACCCGACTGCCGTCCAGGTCGCTTCGGCGGCCGGGTCCGGATCCGGGTTCGGGTCCATCACGATGGCCGACGACGCGCTGACCGAGACGGCCGACCCGAACTCCAAGCTGATCGGGCGGGCCCAGGGGATCTACGCCCAGGCTTCCCAGACCGGGCTCGCCCTGCTGATGGCCCTCAGCTACTCGTTCACCGATGGGCCCTACAGCGGGAGCTCGCTCAGCATAATGGGCCGGAACGCGGTCATGACCCAGGGCCGGGAGCTGCCCGTTTTGGGCGGGACCGGTTTGTTCAGGATGGCGCGTGGGTACGCGGTCCTCCAAACGACTTCCGGCAACGCGCAGGGGGACGCCGTGGTGTTTTATAACGTCACGGTTTTTGCTCCGGCGGGGAATGAGAGTAATGAGGTGCTGCCTTTTACTCCGGTGGGCGGGAGCGGCGGTGGGAGGGGCGGGACCGGAGGTACTAGGTCGACGAACACGGTGAATTCGTCGCCGGCGGGGAGAGTGGCGGGGAGTCGCTGGATTGGTGGGGCCATGATTGCTGCTGTTGCTTGTTTATTTTGTGTGTAAACAATAATTAATGATGATGGGAGGCCATTGTTAATTGTTGTTGTTAGTGTATCTTTTTGTGGACATAATTATTGTATCTAGAATTTTACCTTTCAGTGAGGTGCTTTGATGCATTATATTATATAGGTTAGGCTTAATTACCTTCCACTTATATCCTGTCTTATCATTTTCCCTCTGGGTTGTCCATTTTGTCCTTTTGCCCCTTTCCTTCGATACATTATCATTTTATTGTTACTTTAGTTATTGTTATGATTAATAAGAGATGGCAGTGACATATTGTTTTCAATTCTATACATAGCATTGTTGCCCAATTTCAATTCAACTTTGTATGATTCGTAAGAAGACAACTCTTGAACGAATAAATACTTGGTCTAGTGATAATATTCTTAATTTTGAATTTGTAAGTTTTAGGTTCTAATTTTTTAAAAGCATCTATATCAATACAATTGCAAAGTCAATTGCATATGTTTTTCAATCCAACTCATTTAAATTTCATTACTTCTACATTAATGTTATTCATTTGCAATTGTATATAAAATAAATAACTCTTTCTCTAATATATTTTGGGTATTTAAATAACATTAAAAAGGAAAACAAGAAAATAAACCCACCATTAATCTACGTGGCCTTGCATTTAGAATATCATAATCGCAAGCTTTCCCGCTCCAGTGAAATTGGATTTGCAATTTCAGAAGTCCTTTCCACGATCATAATGCAATTAGAAAAAAGACAATCAATTTAGATGCTCTAACTAACACATACTAAAAAACCAAACTCATATCCCCCTCTTATTAAAAATAAAATAAAAACCTTCCGGGTGCGCCTACGGTGACATGCAATGTCACGGTGACTTGCACTTTTTGGTCGACCTCATTAAGGATTAGGTCGACTTAATCTGTTATTTCAGTGTAAAAACAGTTTCATGGTGCCTACTTGGGAGATTCATATCATACAATTGGCGAGATGTAAACTGAAGATTAATGGTTTTTTTTTAAGCTGGAGTGTCCCTCTACATATTGAAGTGATTAAAAGCTCGATAGGAAGTCAAGAAGACCATTTTTGAACCTGATCAAAAGGCTATGCCAAAACTGGGAAACTGCCTGAAAATGGCCAAGTCTGGAAACGTGTTTGTGTAGCCTACTTTGGAGCTCAATTCGAGAAGCATGAAGGCGAGTCGAGTCCAGGGGCCTCTACCAAGTTAAATTAGGTATGTTTTTATACAAATTCAAGGCATTGGATGAAAGATTGGATATCTGTAAGGCTTCAAACAAAAGGGTCGAAGTTGCTACGAAAGCTGTTTTTCTGGCAGACTTCGAGCACAAGCAAGGTGCCAGAGAAACAGCCTTCGTAGCAACTTCGAGCCTTTTGCTTCAAGTCTTAAAGATATCCAATCTTTCATCCAACGCCTTGAATTTGTACACAAACATACCTAATTTAACGTGGTAGAGGCCCCTGGAATCGAATAGCATCCATGCTTCTCAAATTGAGCCCCAAAGTAGGCTTAACAAACACGTTCCCAGACTTGGCCATTTTCAGACAGTTTCCCAGTTTTGGCATAGCCTTTTGATCAGGTTCAAAAATGGTTTTCTAAACTTCCTATCAAGCTCCCAAGTACTTTAATGTGTAGAGGGACACTTCAGCTTCAAAACAAGTCATTAATCTCCAATTTCCATCTAGCCAATTGTAAGATATGAATTTCCAAAGTAGGCACCATGAAACTGTTTTTACACTGAAACAACAGATTAGGTCGACCTAATCCTATATAAGGTCGACCGAAAAGTGCATGTAACCGTGACATGCATGTCACCGTAGCAAAGTCCAAACCTTTCTCTTCCTTTTAGTGAAATGGTGTTACCGATGGATTAGCAACTTTCTACCGTTGGTTCACCATTCAAAGCGACAATGACTAATTATAAGTCATATTATATAACCCTAGAAAAAATAATTTTAATTATTTAATTAGTTATGATGGGATAACTATCCTAGTGACATCATATCATAGGATCTAACTTATTACAAAAACAAACCACAATCTATTAAAATCTGCACTTCATGACCGATTGAGTTGGTTTGGTCACCTACTTTGTGTCACATATTTTTTCCTAATTTCACAAATTTTGCTTTGAAAATTCAAGATTTCGTTCGAAGGGAAAGAATGAGTCATCATCCATGGTGTAAGGTCTATTACTATCTACCACGATGACTTGTGTGGTTGCAACCTATTCCACCTGCTCTGAGAATTATGACCCACTAGTTTAATTAGCCACACACCCATATGGCAAAATAAAAGGAAATGGTGGTGAAACTAATCTATTTTTTAACGACAATAGTATCGTAGTTTTCGATTCTTTTTTATTGGCAGGAGTAACAATCAGGTGACTCATAATGTGACCAGAGAGATCCTTTCTTTATTGCCTGCAATTGTGGATAGTTTTGATTTTGAACGTTGGTTCTTATTTGGGTTGTAGCTTTGCTAGCTTTTTGTCTTAGTAATATAATTGATATATTGATAAGAAGAAAAAAATCTACTTTTCTAAATATTGGATTTTACTACGGTGACATGCATGTCACCGTGACATGGACTTTTCGGTCGACCTATTGTTGAAGGCGGTCGACCGAATCGACTAATTCATGTTTGTGGGATTCCAAGACGCGGTCGACCTCTTACATAATACGGTCGACCGCTTTGGTGGTCTAACAGAATGAAAGGTCGACCCAAATATCTCATAGGCCGACCCTTGTGCACCTAACAGGTCGACCGCATTAGGAAGAGGTCGACCGCCTTCACACCGTATCCGTATTGGATATGGATTCCAACACCAGAAAGGTTCCACAATTGGACAAGGAAACGAATTGGGTCGACCCATTGACGTCCCAAATCTCTATAAATACGAATATTAGTCCCCTTCAACGCCTCCAAGCCTGAATTAGGTTTTTTTCCGATTAAGAGCCTTTGTGAAGAAGATCGTTCGCAGTTGCTGTTGTACGCGTTGGAAGTGGTCGACCAGGTCTAAGGTGAGGTCGACCTAATGTACCATTCGTCGTCTTCTTTTCTAATGCGTGATTTCTACCGGCTAATTTGATATATTGTTGGGTGCAGAATTCCATTCGGTCGACCGTGATGTCAATCAGGTCGACCTGACGAGACAATTCTGCGTATTTGAATTTAGGCCACAACACTTGGATTTCTGTACTTGCGAGGTAACCCAATTGGTCGACCTAATGGGTTTCAAGGTCGACCGTTCCTGTTTTTTTGGTTATTCAACCTGAATGTCGACTTTGGCTTTGATTGTATGACTATGTTGTGCTTGAAAAGGTCGACCGCGCCAAATATCTGGTCGACCTATCCTTTTTTCGGTTTAAATTAAAACTTACTTTTTGTTGTTAATTGTTATTTTCCTGCTGGATAGGTCGACCTAGGAATAACAGAGGTCGACCTTAATGGTTGTGGTAGTCACTATTTGTCTTCCAGGTCGACCTAATACTATGTCAGGTCGACCACGTATTTGTTTTTTGGTCAATTGTAGAAATTTGAAGTTGAATTATGATTTAAATTTTTCTTGAAATTGTTTAGACAATGACGCATGATGAGAAACTGCATCAAGATTTGGGTGAAATCATGAAATTGTTGAAAGCCACACAAGAGAAGCTGGTGGTGTGTCAAACACAAGTCAATGACTTTCAGAAGTCCATGTGTGATAGAGTGGAGCAATTGTCAGTTCGACTGACAGATATGACTGGGATGATGCATGACGGGTTTGAGAGGCTAGAAGGTGCTATCAAAGATATAAGTGCAGAACGAATGGAGAATGGCGGAAGAAATGGTAAAGGACCTAATTTTGACTTTGGTAAAGAGGAAGAATACCATGATGACTCTGAAAATTGCTACTAGAGCATAGACGATTTATTGAAAGAGCACATTTTAAAGGTATCCAAGTATATTCATATGTGATTGAAGATATTAGTATTACTATCATTAGTGCTAATTTGTTTTGTTTATATGTTTGACAGAGTGAAACAACGAATGGCAGCAAGGGTTCCTCTCCTAAGTACAAGAGACCTCGATATGAAAGTGACTCCTACACCACTCCACAGAAGGATCAATTTGTAAGAAAAGGATTATTTAGTGATGATAGCGATGAAGAAGAATCTAAGAGTCCTTTCGAAAAGCACGGGGTAAGTTTACGTTACATATTCATCTATAATGTGTGTTTGTGTTCATATGTTACTTTAATTTTAACTATGATTTGTAGGTCATGAAAGTGGAGGGTCTAGAAGGATTCACCAAAAATCTTCAAAATCCAGTTGAAGACTTGTATTATGTTGTTACTAAAGAGAAGGCTGGGGACAAGAATTGGGACAAGTAAGACGTTTTTTAGTACGTGTGGTCGACCGGATCGGTTATGAGGTCGACCGCTTTTCCAATAAGGTCGACCGTGACTGTGAACAGGTCGACCTGTACGTTGCAAATCACAATTGACATTTTTGTTATTTTGATTTTTGCAGTTTGACCGTTGTGGACTTTTTTTCTGAAAACGTGCAACGACATTATTTGAGTTCGTTCATTAGCGAGAATAGCTGGGTTTGCTCATCAGTAAGTACTATACTACTACGACTTTCGTATGAATTGTGCACTATTTATGTTACGATTTACGATGATTTTGTGTTTGATTGTTGGATGGTAGGTAGTGGATTTGTGTGCAAGGGCACTAACAATGTCTGAAAAACATGATGTGAAAGAGTCAAATGTGTGGTATTTGCCAAATATGTTTTCGGTAAGAGCCGTAATGTCAAATTATTTGTCATAACCTAGTTATTTATATTGTACCATGTCAATTCATCTCAACTAAAACATGCTGCAGAAAATGGTACGCGCTAACATGAAGACCAGACAAATTCGTAACAAGTTGATGAATGATGGTGTGGTCTTTATGCCGAATGTCGGTGCATGCCAGAAGGTTAGTCTAGTCAATGTCATTATATCATTAAATTTCGAAAGTGCATTTGTTTGTATTCGCTGTTTATAACATATAGTGAGTGTTTTGTTGCTAGATATTTATGCCAGTTCTTGACGATGAAGCACGTCATTGGTTTCTGTATCTCGTCAATGTCCAGCAAAAAACTGCATTTTTGCTTGACAGTCTACCTTCAACTAGTGAGGCGAATCGTAGGCGTAAATCAGCACTATGCAAGAAATTGGTAAGTGTTTTCTATAATTTTCTGACTGTTAAGCGTCACGTATGATGCTAGAAACTTAAAATATTCTTTATTTGTGTGTAGTTGTCCAATTTGGATGATATTTTCAAACCGGAGCGCATGAGCAATGTAGGAGTACCAAATTTTGGAGATTTCAATTTTGATGAGCTATGAGTTCAAC